CCCATTGTTGACACTAGTGGTATTGGAATTACACACTTCACCTTTAAGAATATTCTTAATGATGTTAATTGTATATCATGAAGTTGATATTGTATTTTGTTTGTATGTGTATGTATGAAGGAGAGAAATTATGGCAGACCTTGATTTTGTCGAGTATTGAGGTATTGGGATTCCACATCTGACTGAATGGCACAAGGTCAGGAGCAGACCGGTAAAACTCCACCAACAGCATCTACACACATATAAAAATAAGACGCATCAGTCTAAGCTTCTCACAAGACTTTACACATCATACTAATTCATTCTACAGGATGTCATTTAGACGTTGGTTTAATCTAATCTAGACTGAGATGTTACCTATAGCTGCAGGAAACTGAAGAGACAACCAGTGAGTGATTCGCTTCAAAAACGACTATTTCCGAATCACACTGAACTGTAAAAGAGATTAAAATCCCTGTTTTCCCGAGATAGACATTGTTGCATAAATTTAGCATGCTAGTTGTTCTCGTACCATCTCGTTGAGCACGTCTGTAGTGAGGAAGTTGTCTTGCACGTATGTGACCTCTACTGCCACTGGGATGCCATAATCATTGGGTCGTTGCTAAGCGGAAGAAGAAAATAAGAGCAAGCTACTATTTTGGCATCAACAGCAAAAAATTTCAATAAATGTTTAAGAGCAGTTACCTCAGGAGGGGGAACTACCCAGAATGGCGTGATGGTGGAGGCCACACCTTGGTTGCCATGGTAATAGGGTCCTATAAGTGGTGGACAAATAAGACAAAAGACATAACACAGATCATTCAATAAAAGACGGGCTGTGTTGCGTAATAATCATCTGTGAAATCCATCACGCACCACAGATAATCCCCAGACAGGGCTGGAAGCCATTGCTGCTGCCTTGTAGGTGGAGCTGGTGATCCATCTGTGAATCGATGTCCTGCAGAGATGGAAGGGCTGGGCCTCGTGGGTGACTGTGATACCATCCCACCAATGACAGTCCCCGCATGAAGAGATTTTGGCAAATCTGCAACACATTTAATAAGGTAAACTGCTCAGACTATGGTACTTCACTATGTTCTTACAACTAACAAAATGTTTTTTGCAGACTGACCTCTTCTTCGACAACAGGAGCGGCGTCTTTATCTCCCAGCCATGTACGGCAAGGGAACGCCCTCAAGACTGTAAGCACTGAGGAACATGAAATATACATTTTGAGTGTTTCTAACCTCCAATTTGTTGTTTGTTTGTACAGTAGTTACAAAAATGATCACTCTTACACTGTGTGTTAGTGTCCCATCGGCCCCCCAAATACCCCACCACCTCACTTGTGGTCAGGTGACAGTGAAAATCCTATGAATAGAGGTGGTTCAACTGTTCAACTGTTGAATGTCTTTCATATCATCAGTATTGACTTTACTCTCTTATTGTAAAATCATAAATCCATGAGCACTTCATACCATTAGCAGCAGAACATTGCTGGACACTGCTACATTAAAAGGTTGGAAGCGGTTGATCGCAGAAAAGGCAGACAGTTCTACGAGAGTGTGAGGATCCCTGTCAAGACAAACACAGAAACACTTAGGTACACAACCACTGGGCTCAGTAAGAATTTTTTTTGTTTTTGAAGAAAGTGTCTTATGCTTGCAAGGCGGAAACTAAATACTTTTGTATGTTTTTTTTTCCAGTATGCCTTTCTGAATAAAAGTATTAATTAAAAACGGTAGTGTATATCAGAGATCATAATTTCCATAATGCACTACAGTGCATTATTTCTGTTTCTATCAGTGTTTTTCTGCCTCAAACTCAGAACCGAATAATTAAGCTTAAAGGCCTCGGGCAGGTAAAACAAGGTGCAGTAAATGTCATATAAAACTCTATAACTGCCATATAAAAAAAAGAAACATTATATTTGTAATATAATAATTACCTTGCAGCATCTCTGGTGCCAAGAGTGCAATACCTCACTGGACTTCTCTCTCTGTCTCTCCTCTGCATCAGGCTAATGTCTGGAGAAAAAAACAAACAAACAGGAAATAACAAATAACATATATAAACAGGCCAAGTTATCTTTACTAATGCCTTCTCAGGTGTCCTGTTTTGATATGAGGAATCTAGGTGATTGTGAAGATGTTTCCGTGTAATGTTTATGTAGATGACGACGACATACCGTGCAGCTCAGGTTTGGACTTTTTATTCTTGTCCTCTACTGGCATGGCTGTTTTCCCTTCCTCTTCGTCATCATCTCCCATCTCATCATCTTCTCCTTCACTTACCAGACTCTGAGGTAAACAAATCAAATAATACACAAATTGCTGGCTGCACCATGATTGTTTATATTTATTGTAACTCATTTATCACCTTTTAAAATTTACATTCTTTTCTTTTGACTATTTCAGTTTTCCTCCATTGCTCACCATGTCGGCACTGGGCTGGTATTTGTGTAGCCAGGTGGTTTTGTACTGGACCAGTTTCTGTCCCCGGTAGCGCACCGAGGCCCAGCCACAGCCAGACTTCTTGGCCGGGTTCACCAGACGCTTGCAATGTGTTGCCCAAGCGCTTGGAGAGTTAAAGATCTGCCCAGTCTCCACCCAACGAATCTTCCCATCATTCAAAAGATCTCCAACAAACTTTTTACCCTGTGAAGAGACAGACAGAGCCCTCACACCTGACCAGACGAGTATTAAAGTCATAGTTCACCCAAAAATAAAAATTCTGGCATTATTATTTACCCTAATGACAATCATGGTTACTATTCAGTTTCATTTTATGGAAAAAAAGAAAGGCGCCTAGCTATGACATTCTGTTAGATCAGGGGTTTTGTTTTAATCTTTTAGATGTGATGGGCCCCCAAATATGATTATCTTTGTGGTTGGGACCCCCATCCTAAAATTTAAAAGGAAGCTATATATTTTCATGCATAAAGACAATTTACAGTGTGAAAAATCAACATTATATGTAAAATATTATTTGAAAAATATTTCTATTACATTCCATTTTTATGTTTTTTTTTTCTACACACTATAGTACTGTACTCTTTATGCAATGTTTTAAAATGTAATAGTTTTGGGTGAACAGATTTTCATTTATTTCCTTAATGATAGAAGATGTAAGTGGTAATGGCCCTAATGATGTCATTTCTGGACAGTACCAGGTAGTGTATGGACAGAACGCCGTCTCCAGGCTCCACAAGACCATCCTTTAAGAGGACTCTCAGTGTGATGCCTCTCCTGGTCAGGAGGGAACCCCTCCCAGAGGAGGCCCTACGGTCTGCATCTTCAGCCCCACTCAACTCCTCATCCTCTTCATCCGCTCCTTCCTCAACCACCTGAGGAGATGAGGGTGGCTCGGAGCCTGAAGACAATCAACAGACAGAAACACTGAATTAATACAGGCAAGAACACATCATGCATATTTATTCATATAATTTTAATATTAATGAGGTGAAGTCATATCTAAACCCTTGCAAAGAGAATAGCTATCCTTTTATTGAAGGAATTAAAATAAAAATCACATTGGTTGAATGGAAAATGGAATTTAGTATTTTTTTCATTAAAGTTTTATGTCCTTAGATCAAGTTAAAAGTTTTCAAATGTAATCTCACAAACTTGTACATCGTAAAATTATAATGTCCTTTAAACAAAGTCTTTACTCGGAACTCTGGACTCGTATGTGGGGAAAATACGGCTTTTATTGTGGGACAAAAATGGTAAACACAGCGAAGCGCTCATCAGGGAATCAGCGAACGTCCGCTGCCATCTCCATCTGATAAGCTTTTTTTCCAGAAACGAAGACAAAACGGTTCTGATAATGTGTCGAGAAACGGTTCGTTCTTCGCGTGTTTTGTTCTCGCTCCTCTCCGCAACCCCGCGGCCTAGTAATTAATAATTTCACCCTCTTATAAAAAAAAAATCACTATTTTTTTTTATTCTCACCCATTTCGCGATAATCGTCGGAAAACGCTTTGCTCTGAAACTTCTCCACAGACTGATGTGTTGTCTTTCTTTCCGCCAGTTCAGTTCAGTTCAGCGGTGTTAATGTAACACTTCTGTGCGGACACTCGCCACCAGGCTGTATTCAAAAACATAAAATGAAGGCGTGTGTGTGTGTGTGTCTGCAGTGTAGTTTCCTTGTGTAGTGTTTCTTTAATGTCAATTCCCCACCCCTTTCTCCCTCCTACCCGTCCTTGTCATTTACTCCCCTTTATAAATTAGCGGTGTTTGTGGTGGTAGTCTCTCCTGCACTGGGGGGATGGAGGTGTTTTGCATTGCTGTTACAACGGAAGACATATTCGCGGAAATATTACAAGCAAATTGGCTGCCATTGTTTGCCATTTTTGTGTTTATATCAGTTTAGATACAGTTTCTAATGGCCCTGGACCACGGTCAAATGAGCAGTCGAATGGGACCCAGCAGTGAACAGTTGGTTTGAATGGGGAACATGCGTAAATATTATAGGATTTACGGTAATGAATGGAACGCAGTGTCTAATTCTGGCCGCTAGATGTCGTCGTTCTTTGAGTTTTTCAATATGCCGTGGAATAATACACTGCATATTGAAAAACTGTAAACACATATATGAAAATTATCAGCACAACAGCAAAATCACCATGGCATCAGCCCAAACCTGAAATGTTTAAGAAAAAAAGATACTCTGAGCACATACTATATTTATTTTAAACAATATAATCAAGAAAGTGAAGAGCCAGCCGTAACCGATTATAGCCTACCTTCTGAACCGTTTCTTGTTAAAATCAAAAGGATGTGAAATTGGTGTTATCAAAGCGTTTATTTACCGGAAGACTTTTTCGAAATTAGCGTTAGCCTACTTTAAACCGGGTATTCCCCCATATGCTTTCGTATAGCATACGTGCCATGCCTACGGGGGTGGTTATTTGTCTGCAGCCAGCTTTACGGTTCTTCTCAATAGGCGGGACTTTCGTGCCTCCCGGCATTCCTCGAGCACACCTGACTCACCTGTGTTCAGGTAAGGGGTGGGGGATGATGACAGCACTTAGATCTCTTCAAATAGGCATTTGACGGCAGTTGTGTTACTTTTAGGCCACAAGTTTTCTGTTCATCACTAACTTTTTATAAAGCTTTAGCCCGTGAGCTCTAGTATGAATCTGAAAGTTTAATAACGCATTAAACGCGGACATTGAAGCGTCTTCTTTCAAATACTTGAACTGTTTTCTAAGAAGTTTGAAGTTGACAGGAGTATAACTTATGGCAGCACCAAATCGCTATAGACGAGTGAGATCTCAGCTTCCAACATGCTATTACGAAGGATTTCTGGAAAAGAAATCGATCAAAGACAAGGTGCGTCAGTGTGTGCACGATGTTTCAGCCACGATTTTATTATTAGGGACATCTGTGTTCATTGCTAGGGGAAAATAGCTTAAAGAAATGATCTCCTTTGGATGTTTTAACTAGGTCTTTAAAAAGTGCACCCCAAAACCCTTAGACCCCTTAGGTTTAAGTTGTTATCAGCAGGGTTAATATATATATTCATATTCCTAAAATAAATATAGTTGCCTGTTGTCCTTGGAAATATGCATTTTAATTTGCACCTCAGTGGAAATAATAACACATATTTATTAGATTTTTTTTCCTAAGTACCCATAATGCTAACCCTGACCTTTGTAGCAGGAATTGTGCATTTTTTTGAGCAGTAGTCTATTTATGGACACAGCATGTTCTATGAAATGCTTTACATTTCAGTGCAAGTAGTAAATACACCTAAAATTAAGATGTGATCAGACACAGTATGTTCTATGAAATGCTTTACGTTTCAACATAAGTAAATAGTAAAGACACCTAACATAAATATGTGGTCAGAGATCCTGAAAAAAACAGGAGTTTCCTGTGACCATCAAAGCAGTGTTACACAAGTCTCTGTCGCAACATGGAAACTCTTTTCCTACTAATGTGGAAATGCCAACAAAAAAAAAAAAAACTGGTCTGATGGCATACTTGCATGCAGATCGGACACTACAGATAAAAGATTTGCATTTAGTGACGATGGTTTTAGTAAAGACGGGTTTCTTTCATTTTACTTTTTAGGTCTTAGCTCTCATCCAGCTGGTAGAGGACATCACCTCTAAGCCATTTGTGAAAATTTGGTCTTTTATTTGTTCATTATTTATTGCAGGTCAGCACAGGGTAAATATTTTGCATCATGACATGCGCTTTAACGATACACATTCCTTATAGTTTAGGTTTATAACTAATATAAGTCTTAACAATCTAATTTCATGTCCACTGGTTCAAATTATTATAAAATAATCATGCCTCTCTGGGTCAAGTCTTGTTTCTGAAGTGTTTATTATGAAGAAAAGTTTTATTATTAGGGACATCTGTGTTCATTGCTAGGGGAAAATAGCTTAAAGAAATGATCTCCTTTGGATGTTTTAACTAGGTCTTTAAAAAGTGCACCCCAAAACCCTTAGACCCCTTAGGTTTAAGTTGTTATCAGCAGAGTTATTTTCTTCTACAGCTGTTCCTGTATGTTCGTCATGTAGCCTATAGTTTAAATGGTTGGGTTATATATAGTGCAAAAAGTGAAAAGTCTTTTCCTTACGAAACGATACTCGATCGGACGCTTAACAATTTAATCAATTTGTTTAACCCATTCAGACAAATGTATCCATTCGTAGTATTATTATTATTAATAATATTATTTTAAACGGTTCATTATGCTAAATGTTACCACCCAACTTTAAATGAAAATCTTTAGAAGTGTCTGGTTTGCAAAAAAAGAATGAGCTAGTTATGCATTTTATATGCTTCAGTTTGTGTTTAGCAATGTGAACCATCCTCTTACCATAACCATGGGTTATTCCTATCTTTTACTATGTCACGCATTACTAGTGTTACTGTAAATGTTTAATCAGCACTTATCCCAGTATTTCTGTAGGATCATCCCTCTCTAAATGGCTCAAACAGTCATTTGAATTCTTTCATGGTTAATCTTCAACATATATTTCGTGTCTTTAACCACAAGTCTCTGTCGCAACATGGAAACTCTTTTCCTACTAATGTGGAAATGCCAACAAAAAAAAAAAAAACTGGTCTGATGGCATACTTGCATGCAGATCGGACACTACAGATAAAAGATTTGCATTTAGTGACGATGGTTTTAGTAAAGACGGGTTTCTTTCATTTTACTTTTTAGGTCTTAGCTCTCATCCAGCTGGTAGAGGACATCACCTCTAAGCCATTTGTGAAAATTTGGTCTTTTATTTGTTCATTATTTATTGCAGGTCAGCACAGGGTAAATATTTTGCATCATGACATGCGCTTTAACGATACACATTCCTTATAGTTTAGGTTTATAACTAATATAAGTCTTAACAATCTAATTTCATGTCCACTGGTTAAAATTATTATAAAATAATCATGCCTCTCTGGGTCAAGTCTTGTTTCTGAAGTGTTTATTATGAAGAAAATAATTTTCCATTGTTTTCTTCATTCTTTTCATTCTTAAAAAACTGGTTCAGTCTTTCCACAGGTATGTATTTTATGAATAAACTCAACCATTGTCAATAATGACAAACATATGCAGTTTGTGAAAACACTATATATATGTACACAATCTGGGATTAAAAATCTAATTTAAACCTGGAAATACACAGAAATGTGATAATGGAAAATTAAAATGAATATTTGTTATTTTTCAGAAGTTATTTGTTTTTAATATTTTTATTCAGAAAATGTATTTATTTTCAGTAAATGTTTATTTTTCTTTGCACAGATGGGTCGAAAACTCTGGACCAGTTTATGTGGCAATGTACTCTTTTTCTACAATAACACCAAAGACAGTGTTGTAAGTGATTTTTATAAACTGCCTTTTCAATTTAATTTTACTAGCTGCTAGAAAATAATTTCAATGTGTGTGTGCATTTTGTATATTTGCATAAATGTATTCAAATGCAAGCTTGCAGGCCTGAAGGCTGCTTGATTCTGTATATGTTTGCCTACATATAGAACAGATTATTTGTGCATCAACTGTTTGCTTGTGCTTGTGAACGCAGTATATAGAGAAGCTGGAGCTCTCTGATCTCGTCTCCGTGAATGATGACTGCTGTCGTGACCGAAACCTGGACGCTGCTAGATTCACTCTGCACATGAAAAATGAAGACGTCAAGATGATTGTAGGGCTCTTCCCATCTCTAATCCTTTTATGTAAAACTAACTCTGTGAAAAATAATCTTGACTTTGATTTTACTGCTATACACTTACAGCTGTTTAACCTGGAGTTATTTAAATCTGATAATACACAGGTACCCATGATGCATTTTTACTCTGTTTTCTCAGGCCCCAAGCCTTGAGGCCCGTGAACTGTGGAAAGGCTTCATGCTCTCAGTTTCTAAGGTTAGTTGGGCTTCTGAAAAACATCTTTAATTTATAATGGGGTCTAAAAATCGGTTAAAAATGAAAGTAAGTAAATAAATACATAATATCATATGAAAATTTGGAATTTCCCCCATTTTTTCATGTAACAGAAAGTTTTAGGAATTTAAATATTATTGATATATTTGGAATTTTATGGAGCTCTGTTTGCTAAGTAAACCCACTTTACCAAAGTTAAATTATAAAGACATCACTAGAAATATGAAGGTACAATATTTAGAGGATATCTCCTCGTATGCATTTACACTATAACTATTAAATAACTAGTTATCAAATAACGCTGCAAACGTTTATCAGCGTTTGTTCAGACAAGGCACAATGGCTTGATCTTTTTCATGTGTAAAGGTAATTGTGCTGTGATTTCTGAGTCTCATCCTTCTTGATCTCAAAGGCTAATGTTCACTAAACCAGAGAGTTTTTTATTTTTATTTTAACTTGAGTTCATCTATGTGATGAACTGTCAGTACCTCTATATGACTTATCGATTTGTCGGCATATGCTACAAGAAACAGTCCTACGTCATACCCAAATTATATAAATACAAAATAATAATTCTCACTGTTTCTGTCCTTCAGCTGTCTATGCCAAGTTCTCTGAACCTGCTGCCTGGTCAGATTCACATGATGAAGGAAATAATAGAGAAAGAGAAAATAAGGCAGCGGCTTCTTTCATCTCCTCCACCACCCTCGGCTTCTGACAATTATGTTACTGTACAGTCAGACATGCCTTCGTAAGTTAAAACCACTTGCTTTATGAATGATAACATAACATCAAAGTTTAAAGGTGATGTGTGTAATATTTTTGATGTTTGATGTTTAAGTACTTTCTCCTGGCTTAATAAGAAGGGACGACAAACTCAACTCAGTGGATTGGGTGGGACGCAATTATCAATGGCAGATAGGGAGGATGTGGGAAAACTCAGTATTTTTGACTGCGATACAGAAATTACACACTTAACCTTTAATAATGTATTGTTTTGTCAGTCACAACATTTACATGCACTCATACACGCATACAGATGTCATTTAGCTTTTCCTTATGCCGTTTAGTAATAATAATAAACTTTATTTTTATATAGCTCCTTTAATGCAGCTTCTCAAGGAACTTTACATAATAAAACAAACAGACAAAAACACAACACATGCAGAACAAAACAAATAAAAAAAAAACCAAACTAGAATATAAAATTTAAGATAATCAAGAAAACGCTTGTGAGGAGTGCAAATGATGCTTGGGTGTATATAAAATTAAAAGTGCAGACAAATACTAAGGGGCCAGACCATGTAGTGCCTTATATGTGAGCATTAGGATTTTAAAATCAACTCAGAACCTGACCGGAAGCCAGTGCAAGGACTTTAGAATTGGAGCAATGTGTTCTCCTGACTCCAGTCAGGATCCTTGCAGCAGAATTTTGCACACATTGCAATTTGTTGAATGTAGTTTTCGGAACCCCTGCAAGAAGTGCATTACAGTAGTCAATTCGGGAAAATACAAAAGTATTAATAAGCCTTTCAGTCACAGATAGGAAAACAGGGTGGAATCTAGCAATATTTCTGAAATAAAAATTGATTTCTTAACAGTGTATTTCATATGTTGGTCAAAAGACAGACTTGAGTCAAATATAACTCCTAATTTTTTTTTTAATTCAGATTGTAACTCCAAAACAGAGCCATTTGCATTTAAAATAAGTGAGCCAGCTTTACGAAGCTTATGAGAAGTGCCAATAAGCAAGACCTCTTTTTTTATTATTAAGACACAAAAAGTTTTGAGATATCCATGCTTTTATCTCAAAAATACAATGTGATAAGAAAGGAATATCCATGTTTTGACCAGGCTTAGAGTGAATATAAATCTGAGTGTTGTCTGCATAAAAATGATAATTAAGCCCAAGTGATCTTAAAAGCAGAAGCAAAAAAAGTAAGGGGCCTAAAATTGAACCCTGAGGAGCACCCATAGGGACAGAGCTGACCTAAGACCGCTCATACAGATAAACTGTCGACGATCAGAGAGATATGATCTAAACCAGGATAAAAGGGTCTCAGAAACACCAAAGACAGTTTCAAGAGATTGAAACTGGTTAAGTAAGAGATTGTGATTGACAGTATCAAAAGCGGCACTAAGATCAAGAAGGAGAAGAATGGAGAAAGAACAAGAATCTGAGGCTCTTAACAGGTCATTGGTGACCTCGACCAAGGCTGTCTCAGTACTATGAAATTTTCAAAAGCCAGACTGAAAGGGCTCAAAAAGATTATTTATTGTAAAGTGATTGTGCAGCTGCAAGGCCACAATACGTTTTATGATTTTTTTCAAGAAAACGAAGGTTTAATATAGGGCGATAATTATTTAAGTTATCCAAATCAATATTATGTTTTTTTGGAGTTATTTGGAGCAGTTTTCAATGCTGCTGGTACAACACCAGTACGCAGAGAATCGTTAACAATGCTGAGAACAGCTGGGCACAAAGAATCAGAACAAGATTTAAATAAGCTTGTAGGGAGGGGATCAAATTTGCAAGTGGTAACTTTCATATGTGATACCTCCCTAATAAGCAGCTCTGAGTCAATTTGATAAAAGGTAGTAAAAGATGTGACAGAGAAACTAGGTAATCAAAGTGTTGAAGAGGAAACAGGTGTGGACCTTGTCAATTTTAGAACTGAAAAGATGAAGGAAGTCATTACACAATTAATTTGAAGCAGGCAGAGAGGTGCCAACATTAGCGTTTAGATGTCTAATTTTTAGAATGAAAGAGATGCCAAGAATCACTTTGATTATTATCTATAATGTGAGAGAAGTAAGCAGATCTTGCAGACACAATTTCAGCTCTATATTCCCCCAAGTGGTCTTTCCATGTTTGGAAAAATACATTCAAGCCTGAGGCACGCCATTTTACGACAAGCTGCCTTCTTAGAGCGCAGATCATCGTTATACCAAGAAGCAGAATAAGCAAATGAGACATTGCATGACTTCAAGGGAGCAAAAGAATCCAAATTAGAGGCAAGAACAGTATTCAACTATAAAATCTTATCTTCAAGAGGAGCCGACTGAAGACCACTTGCAAAATCTGACGGATTTATTGATTTCCATTTACGGAAATTAACAGTGTGTGAAAATGATGTACAAGGAAGAGGCAATTCCAGATTTAAAAAGATTGCCATATGATCAGACAGACCAATATCAACAGAAGACAGCTGTGACAAAATTGCATAATTTGCAATCACAAGGCCTAAAGTGTGACCTTTGTTGTGTGTCAGGCCACTAGTAAACTGTGTAAGATTAAAACAGTCCAGTAAGAATAAAAGCCCTTTGTCATCTTACAGTCATTTTGGTCAATGTGTATGTTGAAATCCCCTAAAATAAGGATTCTCTTGAATTTAAAAAACAACTTTGTCAGCAAACTCAAACATAAAAGCATGTTTAAGGGATTAAAAGGGTAGGCACACTGCACATTTCATTCACACGCACGTGAAAATGCAACCTCAAGCCATGGTCACACTAGACTTTGGATACTGCAAACGGTCATTGTAGACAGTCATTTCTAGCAATTTCTGGTGTTCACGTGAACATATGTGATTGAATGAATTAAAATAACCATACCTGTTATGTAATAATGCAATAATGCTTTGTGCAGGTGTTATCGTAATGTCACTCGTGTCGAAGCTGAATACTTGTTGGATAGGAACACTGATTGGGGAAACTTACTGCTGCGGCCGGGTCATGATGGGACGTCTTTTGCCCTCACTACACACCAAGATATTAACGGGTAAAACGCACGCTCTCATCTGTAATCAGTACAGCACCATGTTGAATGCTGGGTAGACAGCTTGCACATGCATTATCAGAAATTGCTGGTTGCCCTGAAGAACTTAATTTATTGTAATTTATCTTGATCATCTGAATTGAACCTTAGACCTTTATCCTTTGAATAAAGCATATTACACAATAGTCGGCGTGCTCTGGGAAGTTAAGCTTTAATAAAACTGAATGTAGCTGTATTAGTTAAGAATGAATAAATCCTGAAGACTCTTATCTTGTGCCCAGCAGACCAGTATTCAAACATTATCGCGTGTCTCGGAGGCATGAAGGAGGATTCGCCATTGCCCTTGAGACTCCTGTAAGTAGTACCATAGTTTACGTTCTTTGATTTTCAAACTACTTAAAGGGGTCATATGATGCTATTTTAAAGATCATTATTTTGTGTATTTGGTGTAACAGAATATGTTGACATGCTTTAATGTTCAAAAAACACATTATTTTTCAAATACTGTACATTATTGTAGTTCCTCTATGCCCCGCCTCTCTCAAACGTGTCGTTTTCTACAAAGCCCCTCCTTCCGACAAGCACAGTCTGCTCTGATTGGCCAGCTGACCCAGTGCATTGTGATTGGCCGAACACCACAAGCACACGTCGGAAATGTAACGCCCCTTTCCGAGCTTCAGCTTTCAACATAAATGTAAAGACAGTACATAATGTCCTCAGTTTTACCATCAGTTCAAGCCCGAAAGGGGAACAGAGTCACGTGACAGACACAGTGATGATGCTCGTATGTATTTGCAGTACACAAACTTCCGGAAGGCCAAATAAAGTGCTTTTGCTTTCGCACTGAAACACACAGCGTCTCCCTGACATGGCTGCACCAACACTATTCCTGAAACCACGACTTCTTTCTTTGCGTGCACATTTGGGCGGCATTATGCTAATATTTCCACTTCGTGACGTAGAGATGTGGGGGCGTGTTTGAATGAGGCATTTTAGCCCAGTCTGGATCAGCCTTCTCTTTTAGATAGAATAAATCCTTTTGTGGGAGATTTTGAGCTTTGTAACTCTGCAGATCTTATACATGCACAAATAGCTACATAACACACTAAAGAAAAGGAAAAATAGAAATCGCATCATATGACCCCTTTAAGATTAAAAGCCTCTGATAAATAATAGATTACATTCACAATATGCCCGATAAAAGCTTCAGTCTAATAGGAATACTCTCAGAACATCAAATTATTTATTTAACCATCTGCAAACTGGTAATTTTGTGTGAACTCCGAGCTCTTGCACAAGGCGCTTTGTACTTTGTGTCTTAATGTGTGATTGCTCTGAAAGCAAAGAGGAAGTTCTGATAAGACAAAGTTTTATGGGTCAGTGTTGGGAATCAGACGCAGTGGATCAGTACAACTGATGTGTTATACATTAAACATTTCTTGGAAGTCACCACAGGGCTTTAGAAACTTGTGATAATTTGTGTTTTGAGCAGCTCTATCTCTTGACTTTTATCTTAAACCACACCCTAGAATTGTACGTTTTTGATCTGAAGAAAAATGGCATTCGGTGGTATCTGACTGTACTGTAGTTTTTGCATATTACAGGATATGTGTGTTTTTGTGTATTTGTGTATTAAATGCTTCTCCAGTGAGCAAACATACATTAAGTACTACTGTACTTTAGGCTTATCGCCACAATCAAATCATTTACTCTGGTATGTTAGACAATGTGAGTGTGTTCACACACCATGTTCACAATCTCACAGATCACCTGTGAGACCCTGCATGATGTCGTTAACTGCCTGCTGGAGAAGACCAATGGAGTTTTGGTGCCTCTTCTGATGGAGGAACACTATGAGAAAAATATCAGTAAGAGACTATTTTAGTAGTGTTTTTCGTAATTAGGAAAAAACTTTTTTGTCTGCCAGACTGACGTATTTGTCGGTATGAATCATACATCTAGAAAATGTTAACAACACTATGAATGATGAATAACATGTAGGTTACAAAATAATGTCACCCCATCGTAGAAACCACTAAAAGAATGATTGACACACTGAGATGAACTATTCCATTGTTGCTCTCAGTTTTACTTAAAATTACCTAAAAAATTTAGACATGGGTTTCCAGTTGGCTGACATTTTTTTTTCTTTGATTGCTGTTTGAACATACAAACATACATTGCACAAAACATTATTTTTTTCTAAGAAACATATTTTTTAAATGTTTGCTTAAGTTCTTTTTGGTTTGTTTAACATATTTTTTTAAACTAAACATTCCTGTCCTCCATAAAACAAGTGTTTCAAGCTTTCATTCAGAGTAAAACAGTAAATTTGAGGCAAAAAAATTTGAGGTTTTTTAAAAGCTTAAAAAGTGCTTGTAAAATTGCCAGAGCTGAAACCGCGCTCTTTCATTACATGTAGGTTACAAAATAATGTCACCCCATCGTAGAAACCACTAAAAGAATGATTGACACACTGAGATGAACTATTCCATTGTTGCTCTCAGTTTTACTTAAAATTACCTAAAAAATTTAGACATGGGTTTCCAGTTGGCTGACATTTTTTTTTCTTTGATTGCTGTTTGAACATACAAACATACATTGCACAAAACATTATTTTTTTCTAAGAAACATATTTTTTAAATGTTTGCTTAAGTTCTTTTTGGTTTGTTTAAAATATTTTTTTAAACTAAACATTCCTGTCCTCCATAAAACAAGTGTTTCAAGCTTTCATTCAGAGTAAAACAGTAAATTTGAGGCAAAAAAATTTGAGGTTTTTTAAAAACTTAAAGTGCTTGTAAAATTGCCAGAGCTGAAACCGCGCTCTTTCATTAAGAATATGGTTTGCATAAACATTGGTAGAGAACTAGTTTGTTCGGTAGCATGTAGTTATACTTGTCATTCCATTCTAGATGAAAATTGTGGTTTTGGTTCTCTCTTTCTCTAACTTAATGAATGCTGGCATTGTTTGTTTGTATTGATTTTAAAGTTGAATGTTACACAGTTGAGACACATTCTCCACAGAGCAGGGCAGACATTAAGAGTTTTATAGCAAACAATAATGAATATATAAAAATAACATTGAGTATTTTAAGAGAAATAACTGGCAACCTCATGTGGGCCATTTTAATAGGCCTGGTTTATACTATTCTTTTTTTCTCTCTCAGCATTTTTTGAGACCGATAAGGAGAATGGTGAGAGAAATGTGCATTGTCCCAAAGTCCCTTTGCCTACTCCTCCAATGCCTCCCCCAAAACCAGGTAATATATCTTTAAATCATCTTTATGTACAAATGCATACTGTCAATTAAATTATATATCATTTTAAACATATTGTATTGACTTTAATGCGTGTCTAATTTAAGCTAACAGCTCTACTCTTAGAAGTAAATTAGACTGATACCAGAGCTGAAACAGCTTTTTCACAGTGAATGTGGTCTCTTTGCATAACAAACACATTGGCTGAGAAGTAGTTTGTTTAACGTGATCTAATACTCATTCCATTATAGTTTAAACCGGTGGTTTTGGTTCTCTTTTTCCGACTTAATGAATGCTGGTATTGTTTGAATGTATTGCTTTTAAAGTTGAATGTTAGACAAATGAGACACACATTCTCCACCGAACAGGGCAGACAAGGAAAACAGTCTAAGAGAAATAACTGCAACCTCATGTGGGCCAGTTTAATTAGGGTGACCATACGTCCTCTTTTTGGACCTACAAAAATACGTCCGTGTTCTGACGATTTGTGCTACCCTGTCAGATTTTGCTACCTCCCATTAAAACAGATGGTAGCATAATTCGATAGCGAAACACACCAGGTGTTCTGACAAATAGTGCTACCTACCAGATTATGCTACCAACACTGTATTTATCCTACTGTAAGGGTAGGTTTAGGGTTGGGGTAGGTGTACATGTTAATAAAGCTTCACACCTTATTAATATCATGCTGAAAGCAAAATCTGATAGGTAGCACTTTTCGCTATGGAATTATGCTACCATCTGTTTTAATGGGAGGTAGCAAAATCTGACAGGGTAGCACAAATCGTCAGAACACTGGCCGGGATTTCTTAATTGCCCAAAATGTCCGGGATTCGGCTGTTTTCTTAATCCCGCTCCCGCTGAATCTCCCTCTTTTTGGATCTACAAAAATGCGTCTGGCCGGGATTTCTTAATTGCCCAAAATGTCCGGGATTCGGCTGTTTTCTTAATCCCGCTCCCGCTGAATCTCTGACCATTGCCGCCTGCTCCTGCAACATGTTTCGCTCCTGCGATTTTTGTGTCCACTCCTTTAAACATTCCAATATTGTATATAATTTTGGCGCATCATGGAGCCGCTCTCAGGATGCGGTGTATTTAAATATTTTTGAATGAGCGTTGGCGCTGTTCACTTTCACTTTCGATTTCGCAATCACACGCACTCTGTGTAAAGGGAGCACATCTTACAAGATCAGATATTTGTCAGTGAGCTCAGGATCTGTTGAGTAGCAAATACTCCAGCATGGTCTTGTCAGTCATCTCTCCTTATTCTTGACCTGTGATCAGTCAAATCTGACTCCTGCAGCTCTTCTTGGATGCAGGGTTGCCAAGTCCGCATTTTTTCCCCAAGTGGGTTAAATGTTTGAAATATTGCATAAATTATATTTGACTGAAATGCTTGTATTGAAACATTTAGCATTCTACCTGTGATAAAACTTTCATGGACTTCTACATTAACTATTCCCTCCTGGTGGAATGACCTGCCCAACTCAATCCAAGCAGCTGAGTCCTTAATATTTTCAAGAAAC